GTTATACGTACCAAGATCACGGCTTTGACATTGTCTATAGTGAACTCGGAGGCAAAAGGTTGATCTTTGTAGATCTGCATCAAGAGATCGATCATGCTCTCGGTTTCTGGCTTGATCTTATTGGGATCAAGCGTTTCATCGATAATCTCTTGTAAATAAGTGTCTTGCCTTTCAAAACACTCCTTCATATAAGCCGTGAGGTTTGTCAAATCATCGAAAACGTATCCAGTAAATGGGAAAAAATCAGAGAAAAAAATCTTCCCCATAACACTTTGAGTCCCATAAAGAATGTTAATGAATCTCTTCATCTCTTCCCCGTCCTCATTGTACTTCTTCCCGAACGCTTGTCTACACACGACTGAGTTTGTGAAAGTCAACATAAGCTCGCTTATATCGACCGGTTCGGATCTCTCCGCGGCCTTGCCGATCTTCACCATCATCCTCCTAGCTTCCTCCTCCCGCACGTGTTTAAAGGTGGCCACACGTGTGGGTGAGAACAAATGGTTCATGCCCATTTTCCTTATCTCTCGGTAATAAGGTGTGTAATGGTTCAATGCCATGTCTCGCCGGCCATAGGATATTACCTCGTGGCCACGGTGCTGAGGCCGGTCCGCAAAGTTGACATCTTGCGTCTTGAGTAGCTCCTTGGCTAGCTCGGCCGAAGATATCACCACCATTGTTTTGCAACCTATCTTGTATGAGAAGATTGGTCCGTATTTTTTGGCCCATCCATAGAAGAAGCGTTGCGGGTTAAGGTTTTGAAGCTGGTGGAGGTTTCCGATCACCGGAAGCCCCAGTGGACCCGGAGGCAGCTTGTACCGTTTTGCATTCGGTTTTCGGTAGAGGAAGAAGAGGAGAACCACGGCAAGAGCCACCACGCCGATGATGATATCTTCCATTTTGAGCTTGCTGTTACTATAGGACTGTGTTACTATAGGAGTGTGTTGCATAAAGCAGAAAAGCCCTTAATATATAGATAGATTTGCATTTATCTTCTCCTTTACCAAAACCAAACTAAACCAAATAGTATAACCAAACTAAACCGAAATAAAATTTTATAATGAAATGGTTTTCTCGCTTTTACCTACTTACGAAAGCTCACGTGTTAGAATTGAGAAACACCTTCACCTACCCATCGTTCCTATAGTCTATGGTTTCATGCAGTCACCCTCATTTTAAATTTGGCCATATCTATTTGTAGTTTTACACTATTCTTTATTTTAGCTTCGTTCATTGAGTGGCCTTAACGAAAGCAAGACCACATAGCAAGTGGTGATTTAATGACTAGTGCCTAGAACGCATAATCAGAGCTTAGGCGATTTAATAAGCGGTTCAAGTGTTTTACAAATATATATAATATATTAGATATATATAAAAAACCATAATTTATAACTAATAAAATTTATATTATATTTATATTCATCATTTTATGACCAAATATATAAAAATTTCACGATTTATATATAAAAAATTTATATTATTTTATTGTTATAATATTATAATATTTGGGACAATTGCAAAAATGCCATTTTTGGTGTGTACATTTGCAAAAATATCACTTAGAGATGTCTATTTGCAAAAACACCACTAATTATAAAATTTTAAAGCCTAAATCTTAGAATTATAAACCTTAGAAATGTTTTGACCCCTAAAATTCTTTAAACCCTCAAAACTAAACCCTAATACAACATAGTTAACCCAAACATAAATGATGTAATGAATTTTTTTTTTTTTTTAAAAAGTGGCATTTTTGAAAAGTGGCATTTTTAAAAAATTTTCATAATATTTTAAGCGGTAAAAACAGTAATCGCTACGGTTTATAGAGATCTAGCGCCTAAGTGTCGTCTAGGCGTACGTCTAAAACGCTTTTTAGAACATTTTCAAAAGTTATGTTACCTTTGTGAACGGGCCCAATTTATACAGCTGGTCGCGGTACCAAAAGCCATGCCAAGTTATTATACAAGTTAAGCGGCAAAAGCAGAGAGATTTAGAGAGAAAAATTAACATATTGTTTTTTCACAACATCAACTAAGAACCAAATATGTAACAAGTTTTGAGTTTACAAGAACATGGTTCTTATTAGAATCAATTATTCTTTTCTTTATTGGTTGTTATTAGCATCAATTAATCAAATGAAAATTTCAAACTGCGTTTGATAGTTGGAATGGAGAAATATTAGATGACTTTATGGCTCTGTGAAGCTTTTACAGGATTGTGCCATTGCTATGGATCATAACACCTTGCAAACATCAATTAAGAACCAAAAATGTAAAGAGTTTCGAGTTTACACAAACATGTTTGTTATTAGAATCAAAACTTCAAATGAAAATTTTTCAAAGTGTGCGTTTGATAGAAATGGAGAAATATTAGATGGCTCAAGGAATCTTTCACCGGATTGTGCCATTGCTGATGGATGAAACCTTGCATACACCTGCAGGTGTAGTGAATGGCAAATCTTTGTAGCAAGCAACTAGATTCTCATTTGTGTGCAGATCCACCACAAGTGTCTCCCATACTTTCTTCTTCGGGTTTAAGAGATCGTCTGGCTCGCCTTCAATGCCGGTAAATGTAACTCGATCTCCAATCTTAGCAGACTCAGGGGGCTCCACTAACTCCACCTAATAGTTTCCACAGCAAAACAACTTGTGTATAACCGAATTGAAAGAAAAAAAGCGTAACTATGAACAGATCAGAGACTCTTGTTCACTCTACCTTGCTGCCATCACTACTGGAAGCTGCAAGAACCATTGCATGTGACATAACATCCCTCATCTTCGACGGCTTCAAGTTGCAAAGAACACAAACCATACGGTTCTGTCCAGAAACAATAGTCAGATAAAAATGGACTGTCGAAGGGGAGAAAACAAATGACTAGTTGATTCCGGGGGAGATTAAACAAACCTGCATTTCCTCAAGAGGTATGTACTTGACCAATCCACTAACAACGGTCCGAAGTTTATCCTCCCCAACATCAATTTCTTCAACATACAATGAATCCGCATTAGGATGTTTCTCAGCTTTTACGATTTTACCGACTCGAATATCAAGTCGTGCCATAGTAACTTCACGTTCAGCAGCTTGTTGAGGTTTGGGTTTTCCTCCACCTTTTGCTGCCTTTTGCTTTTTAGCATCTGAGAGAAGAACAGCAGTTCAGTACTATGATGAGCTTGGGGATCTCTAGCAATTAAAAGTTTATAGAAGATGCCAAACAGCATTTTGATAATTAGAATATCGAACCTGAAAGTTTTGTTTTATTAAGCTGCTCAGCCATATTTGCTGCTTCTACATCCCTAGCACGTCTATCAGCCTGACTTCCAGCAAACTTTTCTCTGTACTGTTGCACTTCTTCATCTTTCTGTTATCATGTCAATTCACACGATATAATAACTCAAATGCGACATGGCATTATAACAAATGCTACTTTGGTTTATATGGATTATTAAATCAAAGAGCTATGTACCAATTCCTTGAACACTGGTTGAGGGGTGCCTATCTTGTGACTTGGAGGCAGAATCTCCCAAGGTCTACTTACTGTTAATACCTCTCCTTTCTCTTCGGAGAGGGAAAAATGTGGAAGCAAATTAAGCTGTTTAAATACCTACAAAATGCAAAAGACAGCACTCAACTCGCTTGACATTATACTAAAACTAAATAGAATCAATGTTTCGAAAACAATCAATCAAACCGACCTCTCGAGAAAAGGAAGGCATGAATGGTTCTAACAATTGTGCAAGAATGTGTACTAAACCAGCAGCAGTTCTGATAACAACTGCACAAGAAGGTTTATCTTCCTTGTAAAGTTTCCAGAATTGGCTTCCCTACAGGGACACCAGAAAAAAAAACATAATAGTTGGTTAGATTAAATAGCCAATGAAGCTAATATATAGTTTGATAATGAGAATAGAATAGAATCACCTGCAAGTACGCGTTCCCTTCACTCGAAATGCTCATAGCAACTTTCAGCCCCTGCTTGAGCTTAACCTGCATCAAGCGAACAAGGCCTTTACTAAGAACATAGACAACCAGGCACTAAAAGTAAGATAGCCATAATACCAGACCAAAGTTCATTTAATATTCCTCACCTTTTCCATGGCATCAACATATTGCTCCACCAAATCTTTAATCTTTTCACCCAATGATTTCGTTAGAGTATGAGATTCAGCACCAGGAGCATCAGGAATGACAGACCCATAACCTTCACATCAGTTAGTACATGATATAGTAAGGCAGGGGAAACATCAGAGACAGACGTACGGAAGTCTTTGGCCAAGTATTATCAAGAGTATCACTAAGAAGGTAACCAGGATTCCGACAAGTTATTCCCATGTAAGTGTTCTTACTGTTTTATAAGAATACAACACATCCCATATTTTAAATTGGATATGTCAATCTAAAAAGTCACCTATAGCAACCACCCATAAGGAAACCCAATACTTAAATTCGGAAAGAAATAACCAACCTGCAGGTTCAGGCTTTGCTATAAAGCTCAGAACTCGATTAACAAAGTTGCCTAGGTTGTTCAGTAACTCGCCAGTCAGTTTTGCTTGCAAATCGTCCCATGTAAATAATGTGTCAGACACCTGGATGGCCAATTCCCATATTCATTCAGTATTGGTGACATCTACACAATTATGCATGCTCATGATGAATGAAGAAAACTGTTTCCATTTTTTAGCAGCAATCAGTTACCTCAGGCCTGTTGGTCAGCAAGTAGTATCTCCATACTTCAACAGGGATATTTGTATCTTTTACATCATTACCAAACACTCCAATACCTTTACTCTTGGAGAACTTCCCTGAAAACCCATACAAAGAAACACATGTCCTCGTTGTCAATAAATGGAAGAAAAAGCAAAACACACGAAATTGGAAAAAATAATAATTAATCACTCTACTCCAAGTTCCAATGGAAACCATGGTGAAACATCAACTGACCGGCTTCGTAATTTAAATATTCAGTCACACTGATTGTCTTCATCAGTGTCCAATCTTCCCCAGTTCCAAGCTGCGTAGATGGAAACATCACCTACATAACAACAAATTGGCAGTTAAAACAGTCAGGTTTACAAAGATAAACATTTCAGAGAGGAGACACTAAGGAAAGCTTCAAAAAAGACAAGAATCAAACAACAAAATATAAATCAAATCCAATAAAACGGTCAGACATGAAAATATGATCACCAGAATACCTAATTTTATATGCACTACCGAATAACAATGATGCCAAGAACATAACCCGGGGACTGGCACCATTATTTATCCCAAAAACAAAGCAGATAAGCAGCATGTGGCCAGTCTCACCAGCGGAGGGGAAGTAGAAAAGGGACAAGGTGAATGAAAGGCTATCGGAAATATGACAATAATAAAATCGGGTGCTTATAATGTCTAAGATTATGCCAGGAAATCCTTATGAGCATATAAATACCACATACAACGTTTATAACAAGGAAAACCGAACAAAAGTCTTGGTCAATTGAAATTTGAAATAGTAAGGTATTTTTTCCACTTTAGATGTTCTATTTCGGAGAAAAAAAAAGATCAAGAAAGAGGAACTAACTAAAATCATTATAAAAAAGTCATTGGGGGTAAACAAATTTCTGAAATGTTATATACTCACCGTGTGAAATGGCACATTGTCTTTCCCCATAAACTGAAAAAGCTCCACATTCTGAGGATTCTTCCACCACTTCTCCCATTCAGATGTGTAGCATGACGTTATTGAGACGTATCCAATAGGAGCATCAAACCAGACGTAGAAGACCTATAACCACAATTCGAATTAGTAGATGTAAATGTCTGCGAGATTGGCTAGCAGTGATGTTCTTACTTTTTCCTTATATTTCTCATGTGGAACAGGAACTCCCCACTTTAGGTCCCTTGTGATGCATCTCTGTTTAAG